TATCATCTACGGGTTTATGTCGAATTAATTTGATGGCCTGCTCCCAGTTGGCTTGTTAGCTCAATTGGTAGAGCGCTGCACTAGTATCGCAGAGGTCAGTGGTTCGAATCCCGTACAGGCCTGAATTTTTTTCAGGTCTGATTTTCACTATTGCTTAAATAGTGCTTTACTGCGAAGGATCGTGCACATATACGTTTCATAACCGCAGTTCATATATATGTATTTCATATGTTTGTTGTTTGATTTATCATCTACGGGTTTATGTCGAATTAATTTGATGGCCTGCTCCCAGTTGGCTTGTTAGCTCAATTGGTAGAGCGCTGCACTAGTATCGCAGAGGTCAGTGGTTCGAATCCCGTACAGGCCTGAATTTTTTTCAGGTCTGATTTTCACTATTGCTTAAATAGTGCTTTACTGCGAAGGATCGTGCACATATACGTTTCATAACCGCAGTTCATATATATGTATTTCATATGTTTGTTGTTTGATTTATCATCTACGGGTTTATGTCGAATTAATTTGATGGCCTGCTCCCAGTTGGCTTGTTAGCTCAATTGGTAGAGCGCTGCACTAGTATCGCAGAGGTCAGTGGTTCGAATCCCGTACAGGCCTGAATTTTTTTCAGGTCTGATTTTCACTATTGCTTAAATAGTGCTTTACTGCGAAGGATCGTGCACATATACGTTTCATAACCGCAGTTCATATATATGTATTTCATATGTTTGTTGTTTTTCAAGAACGTCCTTCAGGATCTCACATCGCATGCAGTGTTTGTCATGTGAATGAAGGCACGTGCTTTTGAATTGATCCTCCTTACTGTCACTCAAAGCATACGTACTGCAGTGATCTGCAATAGCTGTAGATTCAGCAACATGAGCCTGCAATCATGGCAAAAATGTTTTGAGACAATGCACTATAACTTCATAAGTAATTGATTAAAAAAAGATTGTCATACGAAAGTGTAAAAGCTGAAGCGAGTGCATCAATATAACGTCCTTGTTTGATCTTGTTATAAGCCACTTCAAAAAAATTCTGACTGTCGCCAGTGCTCCCGCGCTTTCACATGGCAAACCTTTTCCTGAAATTGCATACTTTGATTACAGCTGATGTACCTTATATTCAGCCTTCAAGTAATGCTTAGATTCCTTAAGGGATTTTCGATAATGGCTCACCAGGTATCTTCTTACCTTATCAGGTATCTTACCTTATCAGGTATCTTCGAACTCTCCTAAGGGGTCCAAAATATGGTGCAAATCATCAAATCCTTTCGCTTCCTCTACCGCAATATAATCGAGTCCTTGTGAGAATTTCCTTGCCTTTGCGCTACAGCAAGACAGAATGCGAAGCATGGTCGATGGACCAAATGGTTTGAAATCTGTTTGGTAGCAGTACTGCATGTATTGCTTAAAAATACGCTGTGGTATCATATTACGTATCACATTGGGTGTCTCCAAAACTTTACCAGACAAAAGATGTAAGTATTGCTGTCCAAAAGAAAGGTCTTGAATGATGTGGAGGCTTGTAATGAATGATATTAAAAGTTTCAATTGGTCGGATTCCACACACACTCTTTGGGTTTTTCGCATGGGTAGTGGAACACCTCGGCTGTACTCTAGTTTGTGCCTCCTGGCTATGACAAATCTGAATTCAGTGACGCTGGGTATGTAGGCTTGTAATTTCGCTATGGTGTGTCAAGCGTGTCTCCCAGCTTGATGCGTTGTTATACGTTTCAGCCAATGCAAGGACTCCAAGTATTTCCGATCTGACAGAGACTCCTCTGCGCATGCTATTCACAAGGCTTTCTCCACAGACTTAGACTCCTTTAGCGCCTCCCATAGGGGACCAGCAATTCCAGGTGCAATCATATTCAGAGCTGCTACTATTGATTCCTTAGCTTTTGATACGCAACTTCTAATGCGCACACTTGTATCATGCCATTTTTTCTTTTACACTGCCTTGGAAGCATTAGGATCAGCTGATTTCAAAGTTGTTCAACTATGACTCAGAGTACATCCTGATTTCTTGAAGCTTTGTTTGAGATAGCGTGAAATTGCAACCTGGTTTTCTTTAAATAATCGAGTCGAACACCAAAGTATATTACTCCAATTTCGCACAGTGCTCCCTATCATTTTTCACACAATATGGACTTTTCTTGACTCGAAGAGCATTTGAATGATGAAAAAAACGCATTTTCAAGCGATTGATTGCAACCCTTAAGCGTTATTCAGGTATATTGCTTATTCCCAGCGTCAGTTTCTACTATTTCTCCGTTCTTATGGTTATAATGGATCCCATCCTGAATGCAAACTTGGCACAAACTCATGTAAACGAGTCTTACCTGCTAAAGGAATAATAACAAAAACGGTTAGAAAAAATCGAAGGAACAACTGGGCCTTACACATGGCTGAAACTGTTGCTTTATTGAATTGTATCATTGACCCAGAATTAAGTGAACGTTTTGTAGGAAAACACCGAGGTCTTAACTCTTCACCATCCGGCAAAAAACCTTATAATTTGGCCATACAAAACTTAAGGTTACTTTGTTTGTCGTTATATGAAGTATCCCTTACAATATTCGCGGTTTTGAGACATCGTGGGTTCAGACTTGAGGTCACGTGACCTAGATCACTCGCTCGTGTTTGGATGCGTTTAAATAGATTCGTTTTCTCGCGTTTACATGTGTTTTTCGAGCCATTTTGCCTCTACAGAAGCCCTCAGGACAGCATCATTAAGCTGGAATGTGGGCAGAGGCAAGCCTCTGAAAGGAAACAAAGGTGAGAGGTGGTTTCATGCAGACTGGACCGCCAAAATGCTTTCATGCAAGCTTGGCGAGTTCACAAGTGAAGTCGTGTCTCTGGCCCATCTGTGGATGGCTACCAGGACCTACCAAGGCTTTTTGGGCCAGTTTTGAGTGGCAAAAGTCTCGATCGATGTGATATTTTGCTGGTAGGACTGGGTGGCCCGACACATA